GTTTGTTAAAATTAAAAAAAACTTTATTTAAAACTCGGAATTGATGACTGCGACATTTTCTTTAGAAAATGTGGATATTATTTAGATTTATAATACAGGGTTTTTCAGATTGGAATATATGATTTCAAAATAAAATTACAGAGAAGTATTTCGGTTACCTTAATTTCAGACTTGGTTACACATTGACAAACCAGCCTTAATATAAGTTAACAAACGAATAAATATTATTCATTAATTACCTAGAGACTAAAGTAGCCCATCTTCAAATGGACAAGGCAAATACTTTGTAAATTTGTAATGCGATATCAATTAAGTGATAACGACAGCTGTGGAAACAAAGTGCGGCCTTAATGAAGAGAGTTGTTCAAGTACAATTATTTCTCGGTAATGGGACTTAGGGAACTAGCAGGCAGAGAAAACAAGCGATAAGTTATTACAATTATTTATGACACCACGGATGAAATAATACCGAACTGTGGAAGAATTCGGAGTAGTGAATAGTCTAATTGAACCCCTCAAAAATTAATTAATGACAAGAGAAATTCAAAATAGAAAATGTAGATTTATTTAGGTTTTGAAAGTGCTTTCATATATTCAATAAAATGAAAGAGGAAAATATCCTTACAAACTGAAAGACCAGCGGGGCAACGGTAGTTTAGTAGGTATAAAAATTAGAACTTAAGGGTGGGGCCTACTACAAAATTACTTTCGAGACTAAACAAAATCAGCTTTCATTCATAACTTCAATTGCATGTAGATATGAGGGATACATATTCTAAACTCTAACGCGCGAAGTTGAGACAAAAGCTCCGAAAAATATTCCACAATAGCACAAATTATTATGTATTTTACAATAATTGATTATCTGAGAGTAGAAGAGCGTTCATAGTAATTATAATAAAACTATCTAAAAATTAATCTAATTATAAGTATTAAAAATATATAGAATTTTGCTCCGCAGTTTATTCGTATTAATAGTGATTAGCCAAGTTAAATTTATTGTTAATTTGTGTTTCAAAAACCGACGTATGTATTGAACATTTTACGTACTTTAAATTGAATTTTTCTCGTCGCGCTGATTGTTTCTATTTTATTTTTTGTTTTTACTTCTTTATATGATCTGATAATAGCCAAATCATCAACAGAGTTCCTATACAATTCAGTTTTTTGCCTGCCCTCCTTACTAGAGGCGTAGGCAGTATTTTATTATGGATATATTGCTGCACACTGAATCAAAACCATCAAGTTGTAATTAATCAAACAGTTTTACCTCAACCCACAGAAACCACAAAATTTAAAAACCAATAATCCAGTTTCTAGCAACAGTTACGTATCAGCCGTTACGACAACACCTAAACCATTTTTCTCAAAAAAGGATCAAGATGGATGCACGCTGATGATAACCTAAAGTCATTTGACTATGTTAAGGCAATAGGCGATATTATAGACCCCAAACATATCTCTTTTGCTTCGAAGATCTCGAATAATGGGATCTGTATCTATTTAGCCAATTCTAATCTCGTTGACGATCTTTTAAAATCCCATGCATGGAGGCATGGAGGCAACATATACAGGAAACTAAAGCCAACTGTTTAAATAGGATTAACATCTTAAAATCATTAGCACATCACCAATGGGGAGCAGCAGAGGAAATATTAACAAGGATTTACAGATCATTGGTCCGCTCCAAACTAGATTATGGAAGTATCCTTTATATGAGCGCTCCCAAAACATATCTTAAATCTCTCGACACTATCCATACCACAGCATTACGTATGTGTCTAGGCGCTTTTAAATTCAGTCCAGCGGAAAGCATATATATTGAATCTTCTGAACCACCTCTTTCCATACGACGAGAATGTCAACTATTATCCTATTTTTCCAGGATATCTGCCTCCTGCCCACAAAACCCAGTATTTAAATTAATTGACTCTATACAACCAGCTCCTGTAAATAGACTCAGAACATCGCTCTCATCTCCACAAATAAGAGACACTAACCTTAAAGTTACAACTCCCATAAAACTTTCTAAAACTCCTCCATGGACCAAAATACCTCCACTATTGAATACAAGCCTAAGCATTTACAACAAGTGCGAAACGCCTAACATAGTCTTCAGACAAAAATTCAATCTGATCTGATCAATCACCAGCCGTTCGACAAAATCCCATACACTAACGCCTCCAAAGAAGTTAATGGTACTGGATGCGCTGCTACTACAGTAGGCACAACAAGAGCAACATACAAACTACCTGACTTATGTAGTATACACACAGCTAAACTATATGTAATACTACAAGCTTTGAGGACTCCAGTACAGGATAACAGTAAACTTGCCATATGTACAGATTTTCTTTCATAAATATACTCCATCAAAAACAACTACTCACAACATCCTTTAGTTCAAGATATCCTCGACACCTGCCACCACCAACGTACTAGAGATATCGCTGTGAATATCATCTGGATCCTTTCTCATGTAGGAATTACTGGCAACGAACGTGCAGACCAAGCAGCGAAACAAACTTGCTCCTCCGACTTGCCAGTAGAGCAAATTCAACTTCATCCGATATTTCATTGCAAATGAATGGACTCCACCTCTATTATCTCTCAGCAAACTATTGACAGAATGCCTAATCAGCCAATTTTTGTATATTTCTATACGCCGTAGGTGGATCAATAGTCGTAAAATTCGCCACTTTCGGGAGATCTTTACTCAGGGACCACTTAAAAGTGGTAGTGGCATCAAAGGGTATGTTTATTTATTTTAAATATCTGATGGCTTCCATATATATTCCATTTTCGGTTCGGCATCCATTTCATTGTTTGCCAGACATTAATATTGATAGAGCTTGATTTTTTCTGAAATTTTCAAGATTATTTTTCGTTTTAACATATCATGCGGACATAAAACGTGACACTGGACATACGAACGGAAGTAAATAGGGCTGCCGTAAAGTATTTAGAAATGTACTAGAAAATTCGAGGAAAATGTACTAAATTTTAGGTGGTCTGTCATTTGTCAAAACTGTCACGTATGTTGTCAGTTGTCATGACAAATCTTGTCGAATGTCAACTGTAGGATGAATGGGCGTTTTTCGTTTTTGTTGTTTATGTACTTTGAAAAAGTGGAATTGGAATATAACACTGGAATATACAGATACGTTAATATAAATATATTTTTGTTTTAAATTTTTTTATTTTGCTCAAGTTTAAAGGCAATTTTTTATATAATTATCAAGGTAGGTAAAAATAAATAGTACGATCATAAGCCAGTTACTGACACCAGGATTCTGCGCATAATCCTGGAGTCGGTGACGGGTTTCTGAACGTTATTGGAATAGGCCTTATGTAAAATCCCTTTTCTTTAGAGAAAATACCGTTAATACTTACAATTATACCGGAAAACGTAGTCTTTCGATCATAGATTGTCCCTGATTTGACTTAAAATGTACTTTAGTACTATGTCGTGAGAAATGTACTAAATTTAGTACAATTGTACTGAAACGGCAGCCCTGTCAATCTATAATACTCTTTACAGACTACTATCTAAAGAGTATAATAAGCAGAGGTGATTGCCCTAAGACATTGTTCCAATCGTAATATTAAAAAATTCCCACATGGATTCAACTTTCTGGAACACATTGTATAAGCACAACATAAATGTGATGAAGGCAAAAAGTTATACAACAATATAATTAATAATGATATCATGATTGTAAAAACATATTTCAGTCACAAAAGCAATTTTTAATTTTGGATTAATTAAATTCTGTAAAACTTAATTTGAATGATCATCTGAACAAGTTACCAAATACCTATTTGGATTACATTTTAAAATGTAAACAAAATTTGTGATTCCAAATAATTAATTAATTTTATGCAGTTTTTGTCCTGAAAATATTGATTTACTACAACAGAAAAGGTTTTATTTTCAACATGAAAAAATTCCTTAATAATAAAATACCAATACTGATAGAATTTTATTTGGCACGTTAGAAATTTCTCTACTCATTTTGTACTACCAAACTCTTGTAATATTTAACACGTGTAACGTATTTTTTTACAAAGACGCCTCTAGAGATGATTAAGCCTCTTGACTTTGAAAAAGTTGGAGACTAAATAAAATTGAAGGTATTAAATTACTAAAGAATATCAAAACTATTATGTTTTTTACCTATCGATTTATACCATATTTTCACAATATAGTTTTTTTTTTAATGGCCTTTGAGTATGTACTCACATAGCCAGATACACGAATTGAGTTTGTCGACTTAACCTATACAATATTACATCAGGATAGGATAAGGGTAACTCATTTCACACCCAGGGGTCATTCAGGGTGACTTTATTACACTGGGGGAGGTAGACCTCGGAAAGAAAGGAATACGGGTTTATAAATCCAGGATAGATAACAAAGGAACCAATATTTACAAATTTAGGTTACAAGAATTGACGAAATCCAGAAGCAGGGCCGACTAGAGGGGGGCGTAGCCGGGACTAATTCCCGGGGCCCGAGCTTAAATGGGGACCCGGTAGCGCTGTAAGGGGGGCCCGACAACAGCATTTTTTGTTCTGCATGAGAAATTTTTTGACTTTTACAGTAGGATATTGCTCATTAAATTAAGTTATATTGATATTTAGAGACAAAAAGCAAAATATCACTTTTCGCTCTTTTTTTGTGTGTCATCGGCTTTAACTGCTAAGGTTTTTTCGCCTCGTGTTCTGTGTAGACTTTGTTACTGTTTCTCAGATCCACTTTAGGAACAGCACTGTTAATTAGAACCCAACAGTGAATGGTCGAGTGGGGAATCCTACTTTGCGCTCTTATTACAAAAATATTTAATCAATATCTAAAACGAACAAATTAATAATTTCGATAAATTCTTATATTTTACTATCACAAAACGTATAAATTACCCATTAGACCTAAATGAAACTTATGAAACTTACCTGGTTATCAAATACGTCTGTACCTATGAAACCTAAATGAAACTTACCTGGTTATCAAATACGTCTGTACCAGAGTAGAGCTACTGGTTTCGTTCTTATTGCGAACAAAAGGTAAAATGTGAGTCTTCAGCATAGTATGCGTTGTACTAAACGTTTCTGTAAGGGTTTCGAGAGGTGGCGTCTCTACATCCGAGGCCAAATACAAAATCGGCAGCGTCGAAATGCTAGAATCCAAGAAGTTATTGTCTTTGGCGTAGTTAGTGGATGTAGCCAAGATGTTCTCAGTAAGAGGTTCTGTCACCTTCACAACTTGATCAGTTGTATGTTCCAAGCTTTTCTCAAATGTCGATGTCACTGTCACGTAACGCGTGTTTTTAACGCTGCCAACCTGAAAAAAAAAGTTACATAAAGTTTCATACTATAAATGCCAAAAGGACATTAACGTATATATCCATTGTTATTGATCCTATTTGCATGAAAATACACTATAAATGAGATTTGACGTAGTTTAATGTTGAAGAGAAAAATTATGCTTAGTGGCAAACGTATATCTCCGCTATTATTGGTCTCATTTCTATGGAATAAACGGCACTATGAAGAAGACGTGGCATAGCGTAACGTTAAAGAGAAATGAAGATACAAGTGGATGAAGAGCCTATGTAGCAAAATAATTTTTACGAAATATTTCATAGTAAAGTTTATTGTTTGGCAGTTATACTCTAGTACATGGGTCCTTTATCTACTGGCAACTTCTATATTTGATGATATATTGTCACGGAAGACATTTTAAACAAATTTTAGGTACATAAGCCCTTTATTCACAGAAAAACACCATTTTAAAAAAAATGTTATGGGCCTATGTAACATTCATCCACTTTAAATGACATGTGCAGAGGCAATACTTAAAGGACAATAACGTATATCTTCAATATTATTGGTCCGAATCAAATCGATTTAATGACACTATAAAGAATATGAGTAGGTAATGGGCCACTTGGGAGCCCACCTACCACCCCACTTTATACCAGCCGTTTTTCGACGTTTTTTGACATTTTTCGACGTTTTACGACGTTTTCAACGATTTTTTTGACGTTTTTAGCGATTTTGATTTCATTTTAAATCTTACTCCAAGAAAAACATTCTCCGATCATGCGCAAAGGTTAAAAAACGTTGAAAAACGTCGAAATACATCGAAAAACGTTGGAAAACGTTGAAAAATGTCGAAAAATGAGTATAAAGTGGAGTGGTGGGGGGGCTCCCAAGTGGCCCATTACCTACTAATATGAGGCATAAATTAAGATTAGAAATGAAAATCATGCGCAGTCGCAATACCAAAAGGGTATTACCGTATATCTTCGTTATTATTGGTCCGATTCAAACAGAACAAGCGGCACTATAAAGGAAACGCGACGTAGATTAACGATGAAAAAAAAAAGTCATGGACAGTGGCAATAATAAAAGGACATTAACGTATATCTCCGTTATTATTGGTTTGATGTTTTCTTAACAAACACCTCTGTTCTATTTTAAAGAAAATTTCTTTTAGATATTGATGAAATTTTGACTATTAAACCTAAATATATTTTAAGTCAACAGATAAATGGTAGGATCTGGTATTTTTAATAGTAACAAATCAAAATTAGTTGATGAAGGGGTTATAAGAAAACCTCGTAAACAGTTGTAATTAAAATATTTCTGTGAGAACTTAAGGACCTAGTTTTATTTCTTTTCCTTTTACTCTATAACTCGCACATGGCGACTACCTTCAACTTTAAATTATTAAAACTTTTTATAGGATTTGTAGAATTTTTTACCGCTTTTTAAATTTTATTGATTTCATTTGTAAAAACATTGCAAATTTCTGCTTCTCACTGCTTTTGGTCATTATAAGATAACTAATAAAAAATAAACTGATGGAATACCAAATAGACATTTGCGTTAAAATTTTAATCGCATAGTTATAAATAACCTTTAACCTAGCAATTAAAATTAACTAAACCGTTACATAATACACCCCCGTTACATCTATTGCACTATTTAGTGTTATAGGAAGTGTCATATATCACACCCGTGTTGATAAATTTACTTTCCGCCCGTGTGTGAATATGAATCCACTTGCCGCATAAGCTGTCAAATATTTCACACGTCTAATTTCTATTTTGATTGATGTAATGTCTATTTTAATAGTAAAATCAATTTGATGATTGAATTAAAACCTTAATTTTTAAATATTGATCTTAAATATAAATTATTTTTAACAAATTATTAAAATAATTTTAAAATAACTACCTAGATTATTTTTGCGTCTTCCTGGTTCATATACATATTTAATTAGATGAGTTAAATGACAAAACCGTGATAGCGCAGATTGTATCGTGTCTAAACTTTGAGAATATTCAAAATTGATGAGGCGCGGGTTGTTGTTTCCCCCCTCAAATTTGACAGATAATGATGACTTAATCATCAAGGAGCTGTCAGTCTATAAAAGTGTAAACTGCTGACATATTCTCCTCTTCTGGAGGGCAGGCCAGCGGAGTGGACCATTACTTGTTTATTTGAAGTGGAAGACATTGTTGTATTGCTGAAGGACTACCATCCGTCTCAGTTCATGTGGCCTCTTTATGGAGAAAAGATATGTACTGCACTATAGACTGTGAAGACTATACGAAATAGGAAATAAACGATTGTTTTCTACATATACAGTATGTCCCCCTAAGTTAGAATCATGAAAAACTTTTTTTTGTGTGTCATCGGCTTCAACTGCTAAGGTTATTCCGCCTCGTGTTCTGTGTAGGCTTTGTTACTGTTTCCCAGCGCCACTTTAGGAACAGCACTGTTAATTAGAACCCAACAGTGAATGGTGGGGAATCCTACCAAGGCATCAGAATTAATTTTAAATAATTCAAATAAATTAAAAAATTCCTGCCAACAGTGGGATTCGAATCTGGGACCCTTGGATCCACAGGCAGAGACTCTACCACTGAGCCACCCACCCCGAAAACTTTTTTATTATTAATTTTAGGAAAAAAGTTATTCTTTATAAAAAGTTCTGCATTGTCTAAAACCTAGAATACAGTCATCAAATATCAAATTTTTTCAGTGGTATATGAGGTTTGTCAAAAAATATGAGTTTTACTCAAGAGTAAAGTACCTTTATTCTTTGTACGACTGATAAAATTTGATATCTGATGATTATATTTTAGGTTTTAGACTATGCTCGACTTTTTATAAAGAATAACTTTTTTCCCAATATTAATAATAAAAAAGATTTTCATATGCCGCCAATTTACGTAGACGGTTGGTGGCATAAGAAAGCTTTTTATTAGGTACTAATTTTAGGTACTTGAATATGAATATAAAATTGAGACAGATAATAAATATAAGATGGCTTCTACCTTTTCAGAAATAGAAAAAACAGCAAAAACCTATTAGAATAAAAATCTACAAACTAGGTATTTGAGACGCTTTGGAATTTTTGAGTACTCCTTAATCTTGTGTAATTTTTAACCATTTGGTAGGTAATATTTTTGTCTACTGCATGAAACACTTCTTCTAAAAAATATTTTTAGATACTATAAATGTTTGTATATTTAATGTTCTCTCTATATACCTCCTCAAAGGATAAATAAATATTAGGAATACCTGAATGTTTTTTAAAATCTCTTTTCGCAGGGTAAAAACCAAAGCTTCTCTATTTACCTTTAAACCCGGTCATGTATTGCAAAGAAACGTAGCGCATAGCTATTTCGTAAAAGAACCGCGTTGCATGGTGCGCCGTTGCCAGACTGTGCAGTTTATCCCTTTCATATTTGAAAATAATTTTTACATATAACTCAATAATAACAAGTTTTATTAATTAGAATAGTTTCGAAATATATTGCGACACATCAAGCGTCCCCACCAATTCATTTTCGTACCTAGTGCAGTGTATCCCACTCCGACGCATTCTGAGCAGAGTTGTTGCAATATTTCCTAAAAACTTTTCTAATAGCAATCTCTAAATGAAATGACTTGTAACATAACTGAATAGTGTCTGGTTTTTCATAAATCTGGTCCATTGCACAATTTGAATTTATATCGGTGTTATTCAAGACAGCAGGCGACCAAATATATTGATGTACCTTCAAGTAGATACAATTTTTAAATTCTTCACTTGTCAATTAGAAGTAAAGTTGTGTATTGTAATCCACTCCTATGATCTCAATGTCAAGTAGAATCCCTTATCCATTTTGAGAGGAGTTGGTGTTGCTTGCAATAGAGCCAATTCTGGTATATCTACGATAGATAAGAGTGCATATATTTGAATGTGGGCCACATTTATTTCCAACTTTATTCTTAAAATCGGTGTTGGTATATTTGTAGATTTGATGGGAGTTTTTCATTTGCTGCGACAATGATATGTCTAATATAAGATGGGGATATTAAATCGTACAGAGTACCTCGATTAAGGAGTTTGAAGTATTATTCATTTGACTCCGCTAAGAAATTGTAAGCCACCTGGTAGGTGCTCAGAAGATGAATATTGAGTTTATTTATATCTACTGATTTGTACCATCTCTGCATCTCATTAACTGCAGTTGACCCTTGATTAAGTCTAGCTCTGAAGCATTATAGTTTATTGTTGATTCTTTTCTCAGTTTCATTGATATTTAGAGATAATTGAAATTATAAAATTGGTTTGATGACTTGATGCCATTATGAGATCTTATTGATTTTGTTGAAGAGTATTGCTGCCTTGGTAAACCTCGTTAGGAACTTATCCAAGATTCCTATTTTATTGCGATTTCTGGTGTTCCTTGGCAAACTGCTTCTATACCAACTAAGCTGCTCTTCTTGTTCTATGAGATAATGGCTAAGACTCGTACATTGAGTTTCATCAAAGAGTGTTTTAGTTTTATCACAAATATCATTAAATTCTTGTACCACTACTGAAACGTCTTTGAAGTCTAGCGCTTTCGAAGTTTAACTGGATTCTAAATATTTCTCGATCAAGCCTTAATAATAAAGGTTTCTTGTAAGATAGATCTAGTTAGACTACTAATATTCTAGTCTAGGTGGACAGTGGTCATAGGTGAGGTTGTCAATGTCACATGTAATGTCAGGTCACTGTCAGGTAGACGACCGATGAATCGACACACCCTTGTTTTATTAGGTTGTGTGTGTTTGTTTTGTATAATGGCCTTGATCATAGATCAATTGGCCAGAGCTAATGTTGTTAAAACCTACTTACAATTATCACAAAATACAACAATATAATAATTAATAATGAATGAAGGAACTTAAAATCTATTAAAAGTACAAAGTTTTCATCATATTAACAATTAAACGAGTTAAAACAGTTGTATTACAATTAATTATACATAATTATATTTTAGGCGACGAATTCCA